TTGACGCATGCTTGGCCTAGCAGAAGGCTCTGAATTAGAGCACAACAGCCCAAGCTTCAACACCAATTCCACCTCCTCAGCTACGAATTCTGAACCCAAGTTTATATCTATTACCTCAAGAATATTACTTCTCTTCCAACAAGAAAACACCAAATCAACCAGAACACCTTGTGTCTGTATTGGCCTTCTTCCACAGGCAACTTCAAGCAAAAATGCCCCAAAAGAAAACACATCGGCTTGCGTTGTGGCCCTGCCTAATCTTGCATTCTCCGGAGCTAGATACCCAAGTGTTCCAACTATACGAGTGGTCTTAGGGTCCTTTCCGTGGTCATATAATCTTGCAAGGCCAAAATCTCCTAGTCTTGCATTAAATTTTGAATCTAGTAATATGTTACTGGCCTTCACATCTCTGTGAACCACAACTTGTTCCCATTCTTCATGAAGATAGAACAACCCTGAAGCCACACCTTTGATCACTCTGAACCTCTGCCTCCAATTGAGAGTGACCACTGGTTGGTCGTATAGGTATTTGTCCAGGCTTCCATTAGGCATGTAGTCATAGACCAAGAGCAGCTCCCCTTTTCTTCTGCAATATCCCAACAGTGGTACTAAATTTCGGTGACGAAGTCTGCCAATGCTAATAATTTCTGCAACAAACTCCTTCATCCCCTGTCTTGATTCATGTGAGACCCTCTTCACTGCAATCTCAGTTTTGGAGGAAGGTAATATGCCTTTATAGACCTTACCAAATCCCCCGGTTCCCAAGAGCTCCTTCTCCCTAAACCCTTTTGTTGCCATATATAACTCTTCGTATTTAAACCTTTGAGGCCCATACTCAAGCTCCCAATCTTCAAGCAGCTCTGCAAACTTCTTCTTCCTTCTTATGGCATAAATTAAACTTGAAATTGCTAGCAAAACCAAACTCACAGACATCACAGGCACACCAACGGTCAAAAAATTAGATATTTTTTTACGTCCTATCCGGGGCAGCTTAGGAAGTTGTGAGAGAACAAGTTCTGGAGCCTGGCCATTCATCTCAAAGCTCCATCCTAGAACATAATGAGATGTGATGACTGAGCCAGGGCTAGAGGAGAAGCCAACATACATGGTCGTGTTAAGGACCGTGGAAAGGTCATACTTCAAAGATAAGAGTGGAATATGGGGTTTATCAACATTGATTGGACCCAAAGTGACATTGATTTGCTTCTGGATACCATCATAATCCACCCAAACTTGCATTGGTTGACCACTGATGAGGATCAAGTTTTGGAAACCACCATTGTTTAGAGCATGATATCCCGCTGGAGTTGATTTCACTGAGCGCAAACCATTTATATCAATCCCAACATGGTTGTTGTTGATGTCGCCAAGCTCGGGGTCCTGAAAGGAGTCAAGCTCTACAGCAAAAATATGGTTGTTGGCGTTGCCGTTGTTGGTTTCATTGAAAACGCCCAGGTACTGGCTTTTAAAACCTCCCGGGAGCCCTCTTGTCGGAGCAATGACAAAGGCAATTCCATGGCCACCCAAACGCGGTCCCAATCTGGATCTGATAGCGAACACAAAAGTGGTAGAGAAGGAGAAAGCGGTAGCATTGGATGAGTTCTTGAAGGTTACTGGGTTGGGGTAGAAGGCATGGCCGAGTGCAGTGTCATTTGTAAGCTTCAGAAGGCCATTGGATGTGACTTGGGCTACGCCATCTAGGCTAAGATTAGCAGACAGGAAACCATTGTAGGTGAAATTGAGATCTTCAGCTGCTGCTAGGCTTGCTAGTATGACTATAACAAGCTTGAAAAACATGGCTATTAATTTCAGTTCTCTACCAAAGACTCCGTGAACTTTCAATACATAATTCAGTTTAAGTCTTACCACAGATATAAATGCAGCTACGCTACCAAAGAAAAATCTAAGTCAATGTAGCGGGACTTCGTCAAACAACTTGACCGTCATTGTCACTAATTAGCTTTTATGTAGAAATTATGGACACTAACTGTTAGCTTGGTTGTGAACGCAATAAATGTTGGAGGTGTGACACTGGCGGACTAGGAATTTTTTAGAGGAGGTGTAATGTTTTGACCAGTGTATATATGTTTAAAAAAGTATAATTCACTCAAATACTCGTAATGAATATTCTTCTTCATTCAAAATTAATATTCAATTATATATGTATTGGAAAATTAATATTCAATTATATATGTATTGGAAAATTAATATTCAATTTCCCATGTCAATTCTCCATGGGGTCCAAATTCTGCATAATCTTCTTGAGTTCATATGGATGCACTCCACCACACTCCAAACATCTCTCGATTAATTCATATGGAAGCCAATTGAAATTTTAAATTTCAAGTTATTAACAGATATAGATAGATAGAGATAGGGAACAAATTAATGAATTGTGGTGGGTTATTATCTTTAAAGAAGGAATTTTTGCGCTTTGTGGGGACTGCCGGTGGCATACGGTGGTGGAGTGACATGAAATTGACCAGGTTGATGAACTACACAGGCCCAGTGGGCCACAAGGAAAGCATACCTACCCAAGGCCCCACAGAAAACTACAGCCTTTGTTCTTCTTCTTCAATTTTGTTTTTCCCTCAGTAGCGCAACAAAGAATAGAAAAGAACAAGTCACTCAGTCATTTAATCAAACACTTGGTGGGCAACTTCAAGACAGTCCAAAGGGGCAACTTCCGGCGACTCCAAAGCTTAGTACACAATGTGGTACAAAAATATGGTAAGTCTAGCATTTTCTATTTCACACAAGAGTAATACTATTCTTACCACATTTATATACAACATTCTCATACCACCTTATGTGGCACATAAAGTGGACAACCACATCAATTAAAAAGTGTCAATAAATCATAAAAGAAAAGAAAATGTTAAATTAATTTAAATTGATGTGACTGTCCACCTCATCTGGCACATAAGGTAGTATAAGAATGTGATATACAAATGTGGTAAGAGTATCATTATTCCTTCACAAAGACATTAAGAAAACTTGACAATTGCAAACGCACGTAGGTACGGGGATAGAGAGAAACATGTGGCCAGTCCAATGCTTATATATCTATGACAATTTTATACCTACAATATTGAACTTTTTTATGAAAAAAAAATATGGAAATTTATTCAATATAGAAAAAGGGGTATACCAGGCCAGAGGGACATAAAAAAGACAGACATTAAGAAACCAAAAGCCAGGAAGATCAGAAAAATACAATGAAAAGGCTAGTGATTCACATGAATAACTAGGCCTAGGCACAGTTTGGGTCAGCTTGGTTCTCAGCCAAAACTAAAATTGGACCGTTACTGATCATTTGGCCCAGTTCGGTTTGAATTTTAACAAAAATGCCAAAAAAAATAATAAATTCAGACCAACTTGAACCAATTTATGTTCGATTCAGTTTCGATTTACACGGTTTGGACCGTCTCTAAGCCCAATTAATTTCTTTCCATTTTTGAATTCTAAGAGCTTCAAGCCCAACTAAATTATATTTTTGGGCTTACAAACCCAATTAGCCCAATCCCCATCCAGCAAGCAATAAATAAAAAATTCACAACTAGATCATATATGGGTTCAGACAATTATTTTGTATATTTATAAAATTTATTATGACCTGATTCTTTTGTATTAATTTTGAGGCCCGTTAGCTTTGATTTGATCATCACTTAATGGTCAATATTGTAGTTTAATACATTTTGTTTTCAACAACCATTTGTGTCCGTTTGGTATACTTACTTTTGGGAATTATTTGGTTGATCATGTTGGGCAATTATTGCCTTACTCTACCGTTGGATTTTTAGGGCATTTATTTTGCCTAAAACGATTTTAAGACCCAACCTCGAATGGGAGGGAGCCAGCTCCTATAAATACCTTTTGAGAATAGCCACACACACACGCACACACAAAAAGAGAAATGAGCAGAACGTTAGTAAAATTGGCACCTTTCTTCATTATTTTCTCCTCCACATTCTTGAGTTTGTGTTTCAATTTAATTTCTTGTTATCAAGGGAAAGATTCGAGTTGTTTATCCAATCCAAATATAAGTGTACGCATATTGTTGTATCCTGGAGGGTAGGCCGCCATACAACCTTGCTCACCAAGACATTATCTTTGAGGGGCGAAATCTACTGTTAAGGACAGTGACTACACGCCTCAACCTAAGACTATTATTCTACTCAAGTATCAATGGAGACCAACTTCTACTTCCCAAAAGATAAGTATTTTGCTGTAATTTTATTGATTTTATTTAATCTACTCTATCAATGTAAATTACAATTTTCTAATAATTATTTCATACGATGTTTTGTAGGAAAAGTAGCATCCATAAACCAAATTTTCCAACAGAATTTATGGACACTATCATGTGGCCGCTGCCAGCCACCTTACCCAAAGTGATTGGTTCATATAGACTGAAACAAAATCTTCATTGAATTTCCCATCTAGTAATACATTACTGACCTTTGACATTTCTGTGAGCCACAACTGATCCCATTTTTCATGAAGAACGGAAATTTTATACCTACAATATAGAACTTCTTTCTTTAAAAAGATAACCTTTACTACAAGAAAAACAGGTATTATTGGCCACCCACTTTGTCACAGTAACTACCCTTTTTGGTCACTAATGCAATAAGTGTCCAAATATTGGTGGTCACTGGGTGGTCACTAGAAGCTGTCACAAATTCTATTTAGTGGCCAATGTCAACTATTGGTCACTACAACACAAAGAATTAGTGGCTATCCCTGTCTGGTCACTAATAAAAACACTATTAGGGACCACAAATTTGGTCACTAAATGGCTTACAATTTGGTCACTGAAACTGGGTCACGTGCCCACATTAGTGACCTACTAGCTTGGTCACTAATGTTTTTCAAAAAACTCGTAACTAATTAGGTTTACCTCTCCATGTTCTCTATTTATTGTATTACAATATGAAATCACAATTAATTTCTTTCAAACAGCGTTGTAGATAAAATTTATAGCATCGAATAATTCATTGCATTCAAAAGCAATCCATATATCTAACATTCTTCCAACAAATTCACAAGATGTCTCAAAAACAAAATGCTACATGTTTAAGTTCAACCTAAATGTCAAGTGCTTCCCAAAAACAAATAACATAAGATTCATCACTGGTAGATTGTCTTCTGCCCTTTATCCATCAGACCTTCATCAAACAAAGAATTATGTCAGTTCTTACTTGGGATGCACTAAACCGGGAATTAACTAAATGCAAGAATAATTAAACTCAAGAGCTAGCAAGCGCATCTCTAATTAATTAGTCGCTTAAAGTTTATCAGTCACTTGTCTGAAGTAACTGGAAATTAGGAACTCATTGATGATAAAGTGGAGGATAACTGGAAATTAGGAAATTAGTATATTGTGCAGATTGCAAAAATTGTATTGTAGTAAGATGAGAGTTATAAGCTAACCTCATTGATGATGAAGTCGAGGATAACTGCTATAGCAATCTTTTTACTAGTGCACTGAACAAAGTAACAAAATTAGATAAGACATTACCTTTTACTACACTAGGCCCCATCCACACCCACATTCAAATCTACCTTGAAAAAATTATCTGGGAATATTGAGACAGCGACTCAATGCTGTCAACTTGTATTTGGATGCTGGTCAAGATATGTTTCCAACTGCCCTGTTGCTGCCAAGATAAGACCTAGAATTGCAATGTCACAGATGTCAAATGAAGTACAGAGACTTAATGACTTGATAGAGCATCACTGAATGTAAATGGGAATTGTAAAGAGACAATCCGTAATGTACTTCGAAACAAGCATGGCCCAAGTTCTATATCAAACACTAGAGATACAGCAGAGAAACATGGTAATTCAAAGATGCATGTTGCAGCATACTTGTTTGTACTAGTACCTAAAAAGAGAGCTGAGGGCTTCCCAGGCCGTGATTTAAATTCTGGATGAAATTGCACTCCTACATAGAATGGATGGCTTGGAAGCTCTAAAATCTGCAGAACAGAAAAGTAACACAAATCATGTAAAAAGTCAAATATTAAAATGCAATCCTTTTCAGTAAATGGTAAGAAAGGATTGTGTGCAACTATAACCAAGTAAATTCTGACAAATGCTCACTACAAGTGAGCATAAGACCAGCAGAAAACCCACCTCCATTTGCTTCCACTGTCATCCTTCCCTACAAATTTTAGGCCCGCTTCTTCAAGAATTCCAATAACATCTGGGTTCATGACGGAATCAGACCATGTCCACCACATAAAGGCACTTGTGAAAGATCATGTTTCACCTGAATTAAATTACAACCAACCTCATATCTATGCCGATGCCGTTCATCCACATACTCCAAGTTATGGTACCTAGAAATTGATAGCAATAACAGATTATGCATGTTAAAAGTGGATGCTAATAGTGGAAAACTAAGAAGTTTCAAAGTGGCAGTCTTCTGGGATTAGTTTTGATATAAGCAGTCACAGATACAACATATAGTTGAGATGTAAGGAAAGACTTCCAGCAAAATAATAAACTAGCCAACAAAGTTGAAGAGTTTTACAGTATAAATGCAATAAAGGTAAAAGTTCAATTGCATGTGCCATGGGTTCTTCCAGACCGGCAGTGTTTGAACACATGGCACCTGCATCAACTTTACTGTATAAATGCAACAAGGTAACTGAACTAATAATTTGAATTTTCAGTAACAGACAGGTTTTCTTGAACCCTATATGCAGACATAAAAGAACGAACTATCACTGGAAGAATGTTGCAGCCATATGTATTTCATAACTGAATAGGATAGCATCACCATAAATTTGTACCTCGGGCATAAAAACTACAACAGGATTTGGTGTATGTTCATCGAACTCTGTGCTGTTCGCCCTTTCTAAACTCAAAACCTAAAACAAGTAATTAAATTAGGGCTGATATACAATCTTAAAATTAGAAGAAAACATGTTAGTGAAAGAAATGTCACGTACGGATCTTGCGAACTCAATCACGGAAATCTGCATGCCCAAACAAATCCCAAGATAAGGAACATTGTTCTCTCTGGCATACTTTGCAGCTAAAATCATACCTTTCACACCACGATCTCCAAATCCGCCAGGAACCAAGACGAATGCAGCATTCTGCAAATGTAGAATAGATCGAAACAAAATTACCCAGACCCTCAACTATACTGGCGAGGGGATGATAATGTAGCACTGAGGTTTCCAACTTTGGGTTTGGAAGAAGACCAGATAGAAGAACAATCAGTTCAAAGGACCACATTTCCAAGCTGTTTAAATCCATGGTCAACTGCATTACAGGTAGATGTATGAAACTAGCCTAAAGCAAACAAAGTTGGTCAGAAAATCAATGGATTGTGAAATTCAACACAATATATAACAGTCTAATCAGGACATGCGTTGTTTATATCAGAACATGTCCACTGCAAACTGAAATTCACACAAGCAGTACATAAAAAAAATGCAATAATCAGAACTGAAATCAAAATTGAACCTAAAATCAAGCTCTGCCTGAGTACCAAAAGAAAACCTAGCTGATTTAAGGACACAAAGTTTTGCTTAAAGCCTTTATTTATCAAATCAAACCTAGAGAACTAGGGAATTCGGGAATAGAGAATCAGACTCAGAGTCACAATCGTACTCAAATCTAACTCAAATGAAATCAAAACTAACATTGAAAGCAAAGAGAAATAGAAAGCTCACATGATATTGGGAGAAAACTTAGAAATCGAAACGACAGAGATGAAGAGGACAATGCTCGTCGAAGAAGACGGTATCGCTCTCTCTGGTCTCGCCGGTCTCGCACTGAGCTCTCTCTGGTCTCGCTGGTCTCGCTCGTCGAAGAAGACTCTGGTCTCTTTGGTCTCGCTCGCCTTTTTTTTTTTTTTTTTTTGCCCTTTAGATGCTTTCGCTCTTCTCGCTCAGAACACGCGCGTTTTCAAAACAAAAAATGAAGTTTAAAAAAGTTAATTGGTCACTGATGTATTAAATAACATAAGTAAGGCTAGCTTGGCATATGTGTTGGTCACTAGCTTTATTTTTTGAGTTGTTTTTAGTGACTAATTTAAATACTGGTCAGAAAATTTAGTCATTAAAAAATAAAAAATATGTATTAATCAATTTACTGACCATGTAGTATTATTGGTCATTAAATTCACTGTATTTGTGACCATTATTAATGTGGTGACAAGGAAATTGGTCACTACTGACCTTTTTTCTTGTAGTGCTTCAAGGTACGTATATACTGTATGATGAAAATTTCTTCAATATAGAAAAGACAGAAGTTAAGAAACCGAGAAATCCTGTGAAAGGGCGGATGATCCACCACATGAATATTTATCTAAATTCTTCTTTTGTTATAAAATGATAAGCCATTCACAGATGAAGGTAAATAGGATATTACAACGGTTTCCTTGGCTAATGGTACTTTATTAATAGGGAAATTTGCATAAATACCATATGAACTTATGTACATGTGGTCATTATCACATGAACTTTGAAGGAGTCAAAATCAAGAGAAACAAAAGGCACTTCCAACAAAGGTGTTTATTATTAAGAAATCAAGAAAAGGTCATCTAGGGTAAAGATCTATTCCCTTTTTCCTTTTATATTTGTGTTTAAAGAGACTAGGCTAAGATACTTGGTTTAAAATGAAAAATGTTTAGCTCAACTAGTATACACAAAATGAATCCGCCATTTAGAATGTTTTTGTTGTATAGGTTGTGGCTAAAGTTCATGTCCTAAGCATTAGATGCATGTTTCCTTCATTTTCTCCCCTTGTTTCCTTTTATATACATCCATTATGACACCCGTTTATGATTTTTCCCGCTTTCCTCACCCGTAATTTCTAGCTTTCTGCCTCCATGATTTCCACTCTGTGTTTTTCGCTTTCCATGTTTTCTGGCTTTCCACCTCGAGCTAAACACCCATGTTTTCTAGCTTTCCACCTCGACCCACTTAATTAGAAAAAAGAAAGAAAGAAAAGAAAGAAAGAGATGAGAAAAGATAGAAGGAAAAGAATGAAAAAAAAAAAAAAAGACATGCGAAATTCTACTTCTTTAAAAAACAGCTTTAGAAACATTATAAACATCACATAGTGTAGTGTAGCATATAATCACAAAGTTGTATGCAGCATGATGGATAAGGTGTTGGAGAGGAATGAAAGTGGTAGAGTTTGAAAACCCCTTGTGTGCGTGCAGAGAGCATTGAAGAAGACAGAGACCAGCAGTAAAATCAAAGAAAGATATTGGGCTTCAGAGGGGAGGAGAACACGGGTTGAGCAGAGATAGAGCATGAGAGGCTGATACGAAGGCAGTAATACAAAGATACAAAGTCGACAACATGGTGATAGGGCTTGAGTGGCCGATACCAAGTCGGCAACACAGAGGAAGAAACAGGGGTTGTGCAAAGGGAATAGCGGTATGTAGCACGGCAGAGAATGCTCGGCGAGCGTTGACGAGGCTCACAGAGGAAAAAGAGATGGCTAGGTGAACAACGACGGGCAACATCAACAAACAAAAGGAAAATACGGAAACCATGATAGAGAAACTGTTTGTGCAAATAATCTCGTGGGAGAATATTAGCTTCTAGATCCTTCAACATTCGATCTTCCTTCTCTCTCTTCCTCGATTCCTGTAAAACAGATCGGAGTAAATAGACCACACCCGGAGGGGTGTTGGCCAAAGGCCTTCCAATGCCTAAGTTAGTTCGAGTGTTTGTAGAAAAACAATAGCTAAGCAAAGGGTACGGAGTTTATGTAGGGTGTGAACCGGGCAGTCGGAGCCGTTCATGGTGGCCGAAGTCGTGTGGAGAAAATATGGAGAGTGGAAAGGGAGAAAAAGTTTCGATTATTTTTCTCGGGTATTAGGAGTAGGTTTAGATGTACCTTGAATGATAAATGAAGTCATCTATTTATAGGAGCCTCGAGGCTAGGGTTTCGTAGAGAATATGCTGAGTTTATTCTCTAGCCAAATTTGTAGGGATCGAGTCGGACTTAGATAATATCTGAATTAAATGATATTATCTCTTTTTATGAAGATAATATCTGAATTAATGATATTATCTTCTCTTTATTAGGATAATATATGAATTAATGATATTATCTTGTTAAATAAAGATAATATCATATTAATTAATATCTTTATTCCAATTAATTAACTGGCCAGATAAACTGGTTCAATTAATTAATTAAAAGAGATAATCTTCTTTTCCACATGGCGCGCTGTGATTGGAGACGAAAATATCTGCTCCCACAGAAACCATCATAAAAACATGATAAAGAGAAACCACGATCGCATACTAGGATAAGGCTCAGTGAGCATTGATGAGGCTCATGAAGGGAAGAGAGACTGCTTGGCGAGAGAGACGGTGCAAAGGAGGCAAAGAAGTGGAGAGAGATTTCAAGAGAAAGAGAGAAACCAACGATAAAGAGGTGTGGTCTCTGAGGGAAAACAAAGATATGTCCATCATGTCAAGAGACGGACATGGATGAGGAGTGGGACTAGGTATCTAAAGAGTGGAAGAGGCACTGGGCCGTGAAGGAGACGCTGGATCGTGGTTTTTCGAATACCCAATGTCTTGTTTGCTGCCTAGACGCTTGTGTTCATCATGAGCCATGTGTAGGTTCAGACCATTGTCCTATATTTTAGCTAGAATTTGGCTAAAATTTAGAAGCTATCCTGGAGATGCTCTTTATTAGTTTTAGAAGTAGGTAATATGCCTCTATGGACCTTACAAATCCCCCACGTCCCAAAAGCTCCTTCTCCCTAAACCCCTTTGTTGCCATATATACCTCTTTGTATTTAAACCTTTGAGGCCCATACTCAAGCTCCCAATCTTGAAGCAGCTCTGCAAGCTTCTTCTTCCTTCTTATGAAATAAGTTAAACTTGAAATTGCTAGCAAAACCAGACTCAAAGACATCATAGGCACACCAATGGTCAAAAGTTTAAATCTTTTTTTACCTCCTATCCAAGGTAGCTTGGGAAGTTCTGAGAGATCAAGTTCTTGTGCCTGCCTGGCCATTCATCTCAAAGCTCCAGCTTATAACATAATGAGATGTGTGGACTGAGCCAGCAGAAGAGGAGAAGCCAACATACAAGAGTAGAATATGGGCTTATCAACATTGATTGGACCCATAGTGACATTGATTTGCTTATGGATACCATCATACTTCACCCAAACTTGCATTGGTTGACAACTGACGAAGGTCAAGTTTCAGAACCCGCCATTGTTTAGAGAGTAAGATTAGTAGACAAGAAACCATTGAAGGTGAAACTAGCATCTTCAGATGCTGTTATTGCTAGGCTTACTAGTATAGAGAAATTGAGAGAGGTAAGAAAAGAATACCCCACAATGAGTATTCTGGTTGTATTGGAGTTCTTTTATATGCTATATAGTTGACTTTGTACATGAATATAAACATGGTAAATTATACAAATGGTAAAACATAAAATAGGCAGTTCCAAGATTATAGGGATTGATTGAGATACTGAATCAATCACACTTGAATGGCTACAGGCTACCGTGACTTGTGGGGAGTGTCTTGCATACTCATTGGCGGATGGGTAGGATGCTCTTCACGCCGCCTCAAGCAAAAGGGAACAAAGTGGAGGTTGAGCTTGGTAGCTGTCACATCCCGAGATCGGCTCTGCCGTAGCACGATATTGTCCGCTTTGGGCCCCCTCTCTGCCCTCACGGTTTTGTTTCTGGGAGCTCACGAGCAACTTCTCAGTGAGTCACCCATCCTGGGATTACTCTAGCCCCAACTCGCTTAACTTCGGAGTTCCCATGACTCCGAAGCCAATGAGCTCATAAAAGGCGTAGTGTTAGATGGATGCGGGCATGCACATATAAGGCACATCACCTCTTCTCTGTTGGTCAATGCGGGATCTTACAATCCACCCCCTTAAGGGCCCGACGTCCTCGTCAGCACACTCGCACCACATGGCAGAGTGACTCTGATACCAAATTATCACATCCCGGGATCAGCTCCGCCGTAGCACAATATGTCCACTTTGGGCGCCCCCTCTCTGCCCTTACGGTTTTGTTTCTGGGAGCTCACAAGCAACTTCCTAATGGGTCACCCATCCTGGGATTGCTCTAGCCTCCAACTCGCTTAACTTCGGAGTTCATATGACTCCGAAGCCAGTGAGCTCCCAAAAGGCCTCGTGCTAGATGGATGCGGGTGTGCACATATAAGGCACATCACCCCACCTTCGTTGGTCAATGCAGGATCTTATAGTAGCAAGGTGAGTACCGTTTGCGAGACAAGCTTTTGGTGAAGAGATCGGCAAGTTGAGAAGTAAAGGGAACATAGTGCGTCTGAAGAACACCTTGGGAAATTAACTCGCAAACAAAATGGTTGTCGATTTCAATATGGCGGGTACAAGCATGGAAGAAGAGATTCGCGGCCATGTGGAGGGCATATATGTTGTCGACAAAGATACATGAAGGGGAACGAAGAGGAATACCCAACTCACGAAACAAGTAGCCAAACCAACGAAGCTCAGCTGCAGTGGTAGCAAGTGCGCGATACTCGGCTTCAGAGCTTGAGCGGGATACGGTGAATTGTTTCTTAGTGGTCCAAGTGAGAAGAATAGGACAAGGAAAACACATGCCCCAGTAGTAGAGCGGCGATCATCAATGGAGCCGGCCCAATCAGCGTTGGAGAAGGCTCGTAAAGTGAGGTCAGCAGAAGCACGAAAGAGAAGGCCATGCTCAAGAGTGCCCTTAATGTAGCGATAGATCTTTTTAACAGCTTGGAGGTGAGTGGAACACAGATGATGCATGAATTGGCACACCTGATTCACTGCAAAAGCGATATCGGGGCGAGACAGAATAAGGTATTGGAGCCCCCAACCGTGCTTCAGTATAATGTGGGGTCAGAGATCAAATCACCATCGTTTGCAAAGAGTCTGGTGGAGGAGAGCAGTGGTGTGGCACTTGGTTTACATGCTTCCATATTAAATTTGGTGAGAAGGTCATATGCATAACGAGCTTGAGAGATTGATAGATAGCCATTGGTGCGACAAACTTCCATGCCAACAAAAAAAATTGAGCTCTCCCAGCCTGCGACTATTAAAAGTTAAACATAAGTCATCAATGAATTTGTTAACTGCAAGAAGGGTACTACCTATGATTAAATCATCAACATACACAAGGACATAAAGAGTGAGAGGTTGTATGATGAATAAAAAGTGAAGCATCAGATTGACTATGGAAGAATCCTTGATGAATTAAAAAAGAATGGAGTCGATGAAACCATGCACCTGGGCCGGGGGGGGTGTTTAAGGCCATAGATTGCCTTGTGGAGTTTGCAGACATAGTTGGAGCGAAGAGGGTTAACAAAACTTAGGGGCTGCTTCATGTAAACCTCCTCTTGTAAGATACCATTTAAAAAGGCATTACGAACATCAAGTTGTTGCAAGGGCCAATTCCTGGAAAGAGCAAGAGTTAAGATAGTGCGAATAGTAGCTGGCTTGACAACAAGACTAAATGTTTCATCATAGTCAAGGCCCTTCATTTGATTAAATCCCTTGGCAACTAAGCGTGCCTTGTGTCTTTCAATAGTGCCATCCGCTTTTCGCTTGACTTTGAAAACCCATTTACAGACCACGATGTTCATGGTTGGTGTATAAGGAACGAGGGACCAAGTTTGGTTCTTTATAAGGGCTGTATATTCTTCTTGCATCGCTGCCTACCAGTGAGGGAATTTAGAGGCTTGAGTATAACTGGTAGGCTCAATTGAGAGAGGATCCATAAGAGTTGCAGTTAAGGCATAGGGGAGAGGATGGTGTGTGGAGTTGTAGACAATATCATGAAGGCTGCGGAACCCACATGGTAGTGGTGTAGTGGCTGGAGTTGTCAGAGATGACTCGATTTCTATTGAAGGAGGGAAAGTGCTTGCAGATTGATGAAGATGTTGGTTGGATGGAGATGAAGACATAATAGAGAGCGGAAGAGGTGTGGCTGGTGGCTGTCCGTAGCAAGGTTAGAAGGAGGTGGAGTAGTTGGAGGACCTGGAGATAAAGGAACATGAGGAGGCTCCAATAATGTGGGTGCAAGAGGTACTGACCTGTGATCATTAGAGGACTTGGATAGAATATTAGTGTAAGAAAAATCAGATTCATCAAAAGTAACATTCGTTGAAATATACACTCGCCTAGAGATTGGTTTAAAGCACTTGTACCCCTTGTAGTGATTGTCATACCCGAGAAAAATACACTTCATAGACTTGGAGGAAAGTTTATGCTTGTTGTATGGCACTAAGGTGGGCGTTGGAACAACTTCTCATATGGTGAAACTTGACCAAGTTGTGCAGTTAGTAACCTGTTAATAAGAAAGACGGCAGTGGAAAAAGCTTCGAGCCAAAAACTCGAAGGTAAGTGTGATTGTGACAACAAGCAAAGTCCCATTTCAAGAATATGTCTATGCTTACGCTCAACAATTCCGTTTTGCTCTGGTGTGTAAGGGCATGAAATGTGATATGTGATGCCATGTTCATGAAGAAAATTAAGGAATAAACGGTTTGTGAATTCACCACCACCATCAATTTGTATTGTTTTAATATAATGGTTGTGTTGTTTTTCCACAAATCTTTTAAAGAAGACAAATGTTGTAAGCACATCGGATTTCTTTGCTCCATGATAAAACCACACAAATCGAGTGTATTCATCAACAATAGATAAATAATAACGACAACCAAAATTTGATGAGACTGGGGCTGGTCCCTATAAATCTAGATGAAGTACTGCAAGAGGTTCATGAGCATAAAAAGATCGATTGGAAAATGGAAGTCTACATGATTTTCCCAAAGGGCAAATATGACAAGCCTTATAGAATCAACCTTACCACTAACAGGCAAGTGAAATTTATTAAGTAAAATACGAAAAACATCATGAGACGGATGGCCAAGTCTTGTATGCCAAATATCTTGGGTAGTCCTTTCACCAAAAGAGGCTAGCTTCCCTGAGATTGTAGGATCTGCTTGAATATGGTACAAGTCACCAGAGCTACTGCCAGTGAGCAAAGTCCTCCCCGTTATATTGTCCTTTACATGAAAACCATTAGCATGCATCTCAAAATAGCAATTATTATCCTTAGAAAAACGGTGTATAGACAATAGATTCTTTCGTATAGCAAGAACACATAGAACATTAGTAAGTTTCAAAGGACCAATATTAGTTTGACCAATATGACTTATTGAGAGACGAGTGCCATTACCTACAATAATGGAGTCATTACCCGTATACGATTTCACAAAGGGAAGTTGATAAGGACTGGACACCATATGATGGGTTGCCCCGGAGTCAACACACCAACTTGTGTTATTAGGAACAGATGGTGAAGGGATATTGGAGGTGTTGGACTCTGCCATATAGGCGTAATAACCACAATCATGACATACACGTGAAGTGTGGCCTTGTCGATTGCACATCTGACAGGTTACTTGAAACTGAAAAGGAGGTTGATATGGTGGTGTTGGGAGCAGTGGTAGACGTCCATCATGTGAAGGCATTGATGATCTGGTGTCTGTTAGAAATTGAGGACGGCGGTAAGCACGACTATTCTGCCAGCCTTTGTCACGGGTGGAGGCCCCACAATTATGGTGGTTGGAATTCCAATTAAGAGAACGACCTGAATTTCTTCCATTATGCCAACCGTGACCTCGGCCTCGTCCTCGTCCTCTTTCAAAGTTTTGGAACCAGTTCTGAGAATGGTTGTGGTGGTTGGTGCTTTGGGCTCGGTTCTGAGTGGCCTGATCATTGGTATTGCGATCAAAGGTGAGTGCTACACCTTGTGATAAGGAGAGGGAAGACATCCTCTTTAGCAACTGTTCTTCCTGTATTAACATATCATAAAATTCATCTCAAGTTAGAGAGGGTCGAAGATGAAGGGAGGTAGTAAATTCTTTGTATTCATGGCCTAGGCCATCGAGTATATAATCAATAAGTTCGCCATCAGAAATTGAGGTGCCAGCCGCAATGACAGAATCAAAGAGAGACTTGGCGTGGATCAAATTATCTGCAACTGACTGTTTTGGATCCTTTTTTAGAGTGCGTATCTGATCTCGCAGGGTACGAATATAAGTTTTGGACAGGTGTGACAGCCGTTTCTCAAGCAGCGTCCATGCCTCATATGCTGTAGAACATGGAATCAGAAGGGTCTTAATAGAAGATGAAGCCGTGGCCTTGATCCAGCTTAAGAATAGTTTGTCTTTTGAATAGGCTGGATTCTGGATTGAGAGAACCATCGGGAAGTTTCTTCTGAGGATGTGTTTATGTCTTAATCACATCTTCCAGATCATGTAATTCTAGTACACCTTCAAACTGAGATTTCCAACAGAGAAGTTGGAATAGAAGATGGTGTGGTGGTCATGGTATTTTGAGAATTGTTCTGAGAGATCTGAGAAGGCTGAGAGTCAGAGGGAGAGTTCACAGGAGAGGAAGAGTTTGTCATTAGGATCGAAAAGGGGTCTGTGAGGCTCTGATACCATGTAGAGAAATTGAGAGAGGTAAGAAAAGAACAAGAAGTAGAATAGGAAGAATACCCCACGATGAGTATTCTGGTTGTATTGGAGTTCTTTTATATGCTATACAGTTGACTTTGTACATGAATATAGGCAGTTCCAAGATTATAAGGATTGATTGAGATACTGAATCAATCACACTTGAATGGCTACAGGCTGCCGTGACTTGTGGGGAGTGTCTTGCATATTCATTGGCGGATGGGAAGGATGCTCTTCAACTAGGAGCAGGATGGACAACATTACTGTGACAAGCTTGAAAAACATGTCTATTATTTCTAATTCTCTGCCAACTTATCTGTGATCTTTATCTTCACATACTCATTAGGGTAAGTTTTTCTTGTAAAAGTGTACAACTCTCCGGAACCAAGTCATAGAATAGTAATCCAATCATCACAAAGTTAGAACATGAGTCAAATTGGTATAGTTGTAATGTATTCAAAGACCAATGGATTCATTTTGTTGATTAATGAAATATCTGAGATCAGTGGTTCTAGAACTTTCTCTCTCAGTTGTTTCGATTCTCTCATTTTCTGTCTATCCAAACACTTGTAGTTGTGACTTTCATCATTTCCAATACCCTATGCATCAAATCATCGAGTATACCCACAAAAAATAAAGCAAAACCCAATGAAGCTGAGCTGACCCTGCATTCTCAGACTAATTAAATGTGTTGTCTTTGCGTAGAACAAAGAGCGATCCAGATGGTCCAATACCGGCTACCTTACGCAACAAGTTCCGAATTTCAATGCAGATTGCATATTAAATTCATGAAATTTCTAAAAGAAGCAAGTTTTTCCCTTTCTTTTTCATGATATTGTTGTCACTTCAATATTTACTCCCTTGGCACGAGTTTGTGTGTATGGAATTAGTACTTTCTGCAGAATTTTATTCTTACCCAACTTACATACAGATTGTTACAGTATTGATTTTTATATAACAAGTTACAAAACTAATAAGTAGAGTCAACATTCTAGTGAGCTAGACAATCATAATTGCGTCGAATCAGCGACCACCTGAGAGGCATGCGGACTCTGCAGCATATGATGAATGTGAAAACCCCTTGCCCGGAGAGGACGAATATGACATTGCAAAATCATCAAAACCTTTATGGTGAGCAAAAATCAAGCCATTTGAAGAGAGCTCTGGCAAAGCAATGTCACCTTCCAAATACTGCACAACCTGGCGCATGCTTGGCCTGGCTGTAGGCTCTGAATGAGAGCACAACAGCCCAAGCTTCAACACCAACTCCACCTCCTCGGCTACAAATTCAGAACTCAAGTTTTGATCTCTTGCCTCAAGAATGGCACCTCTGTTCCAAAAAGAAAACACCCAATCAACCAAAATCAAATCCTGGTCTGGACCTTGTGCCTCCATTGGCCTTCTTCCACAAGCTACTTCGAGCAAAAATGCCCCGAAGGCAAACACATCGGTGCTCGTTGTGGCCCGGCCTGATCTTATATGCTCTGGAGCTAGATACCCAAGTGTTCCAACTATATGAGTAGTTTGAGGGTCTGTTCCATGGTCATATAATCTTGCAAGGCCAAAATCTCCTAGCCTTGCATTCAATTCACCGTCAAGTAACACATTGCTGGCCTTCACATCTCTGTGAATCACAACTTGTTCCCATTCTTCATGAAGATAGAATAACCCTGAAGCCACACCTGTGATCACTCTAAACCTCTGGCTCCAATTGAGAGTGACCGTAGGGCGGTCATAGAGGTACTTGTCCAAGCTTCCATTAGGCATGTAGTCATAGACCAAGAGCAGCTCCCGTTTTCTTCTGCAATAGCCCAAGAGTGGGACTAAATTTCGATGACGAAGCCTGCCAATACTCACAATTTCTGCAACAAATTCCTTCATCCCCTGTCGCGATTCGTGTGAGACTTTCTTCACAGCAATCTCAATTTTTGAGGAGGGTAATATGCCTCTATAGACTTTACCAAAACCCCCAGTCCCCAAAAGCTCATTCTCCTTAAATCCTTTTGTGGCAATATATAAGTCTTTGTATTTAAACCTTTGAGGCCCATACTCAAGCTCCCAATCTTCAAGTAATTCTGCAAACTTCCTCTTCCTTCTTATGAAATAAATTAAACCTGAAACCACTAGCAAAACCAAACTCACAGACATCACAGGCACACCAACGGTCAAAAAATTAGATATTTTTTTACGTCCTATCCGGGGCAGCTTAGGAAGTTGTGAGAGAACAAGTTCTGGAGCCTGGCCATTAATCTCAAAGCTCCATCCTAGAACATAATGAGATGTGAAGTCTGAGCCAGAGGAAAAGCCAACATACATGGTCGTATTAAGGACCGTGGAAAGGTCATACTTCAAAGACAAGAGTGGAATACGGGGTTTATCAACATTGATTGGACCCAAAATGACTTTGATTTGCTTCTGGATACCATCATACTCCACCCAAACTTGCATTGGTTGACCACTGATGAGGGTCAAGTTTCGGAAACCGCCATTGTTTAGAGCATGATATCCCGCTGGAGTTGACTTCACTGAGCGCAAACCATTGATATCAATCCCAACATGGTTGTTGTTGAGGTCACCAAACTCGATGTTCTGTATGGTGTCAAGCTCTACAGCAAAAATATGGTTGTTGACGTTGCCGTTGTTGGTTCCATTGAAAACGCCCAGGTACTGGTGTTGAAAACCGCTGGGGAGCCCTCTTGTCGGAGCAATGACAAAGGCAATTCCATGGGCACCCAGTCCTAATGCGGATCTGATAGCGAACACAAAAGTGGTAGAGAAGGAGAAAGCGGTAGCATTGGATGAGTTCTTGAAGGTTACTGGGTTGGGGTAGAAGGCATGGCCAGTGCCATTTCCAGCGTCATTTGTAAGCTTCAGAAGGCCATTGGATGTGACTTGGGCTACGCCCTCTAGGCTAAGATTAGCAGACAGGAAACTATTGTAGGTGAAATTGAGATCTTCAGCTGCTGCTAGGCTTACTAGTATGACTATAACAAGCTTGAAAAACATGGCTATTAATTTCAATTCTCTACCAACAAGGCCGGTCTTGGGATTTTGAAGGCCTTGTGCGAACCTTAAATTGGGGTCTCACATAAGCTAACACAAACTTACACCATTACATAATGTCATACAATAAATGTTTTTTTTTCTTAAATTGGGTCAAGGATGTTATACCTTTTGAATAATCACCATGATTGTGACGATGAGTCTTTGTCATTGTAGATTATATTTAGATATTAAATATTTTTTAACACCTAATTTATTTTGTATCAATATTCTAGGAACATCATTAATTCGATGCAATTATTTTGGTTGAGTTAGTTGGATGCATTATTTTGTGCAAAATTGAATATCTGAGCATAGGGTTTAGGGTATTTATTATTTTAGTTTATGGTTGTGAAAGTAGCTGGGATATTGAATGTTGGTGTTGACCTTTGTCCAAAATCTGCATTCAATTTCCCTCTAGAAATACATTACTGACCTTTGACAAGATAACCTCGAAGATAAGGGACCACAATTGAGATCTTGATTCTCAGCCAATGCCTTTCTGAACATATCCTTCAGAGAAAAATCTAAGTCAATGTAGCGGGACATTGTCAAACAACTTGATCGTCATTGTCACTAATTAGCTTTTATGTAGAAATTATGGATACTAACTGTTAGCTTGTGTGTGAAAGCAATAAATGTTGGAGGTGTGAAACCAGGAAATATTCACTTGACTTGTGAAGACTGCAGCCAAGTTCCGGGCTTTGGAAACCAAATATGATTAGCTTGGTTAGCAAGCCATCTAAATTTGTTGTTAGCAATACAAAGAAACTACGTTGAAAACCAGAAATTTTTTCTCTCATTCTCATATTCTCCCATATTATACGTTAAGAAAACTTGACAATTCATATTTCATGAGGGTAATGCTAGGTGTGGGAGCAGATATATTAGTCTCCAATCACAGCACGCCACGTGGAAAAGTGTAACACCCCGACTCCAATTATTTCCTATTTTAATTAAATTAAGAGAAATTATGAATTTACCCTTGGGTTAAGGGTAATTTTGGTCATTTTCTTATCCGGGAAGATTTTGGGACCACAAGTGGTTTGGTTGCGTAAATGGTACTGAGACGAAACCGTAGACAGGCGGTAGGCTTGAATCGGAGATTTAATGAAGTTTTGGCGATCAAAATAAGCTCGATGGTGGAACTGTAATTATTTCAAAAAGTTTGGTAAAAATCAGATTTCAGTTTTTACCTCTCTCTCTCTCTCTCTCTCTCTCTCTCTCTCT